TTTTATGATAAAATATCTAAGAACTTTACTATGCAAATAAAATCCATGTTTTTTAAAAAGGTATACATAAGTATCATGTCATTATAATGCTCTCTATGTGTATGTGTATTTGTGTGTGTATGTGTATATATACACACTAATAGAGAGATGTGTATGTGTGCCATATATATGAAGGTTCATATATATTATTTATCTATAACATATCTGTTATATGCATATTAGAAATCTATATGTCTAAATCTCTTTTGACCAGGAATTGTTGACCTTAGCTCTGATGATATTTTGTGCAAGGAAACTTTCTGGTGTGTCTGGATGTGTTGGTGGAGGGGACCATGCCATGCATTGTAGGATGTTTAGCAGCATCTGTGGCCTCTGTCTATTAGATGTTAGCAACATACTCTCCACTCCTAAATGGTGTGTAGTGTGTGTCATACAACAATGATTCTAGGCTTTGTGAACTTACATAGGTCTCAGTAAAGAGACACTTATACATACATATACATGCATGTGTGTATATACATCAACATATGTACATGCATATATACACACATATGAAATTTTTACCTTAAATTTATTTGATATATCAGGCATTTCATTACTCAATAAAAAACCAGTTCATTGCAGTGTCACTCTATCAGAAGTGACAAAATTCAAAATTTCATAAAAAATAGATATATACAGCTACAACTCATTCAAAACTGGCATAAGTTTAACAAATAGTTTTATTCGGTCAAGTTTACCTTTCTAAGGTATTGGCCAGAATTATAAATCTAGTTTTTCATGGTTCTCTTGTGGATTTTGGACAGTAGACAAGAGATTCATTGGTATAAAACAATAGGTGACCAGCTGTCTACTCCTGTTTCAGGGACCACAAAAGCTCTTTAGAGATCTCTTTAGAGTGCTTCCAAGAAAGAGGGCAGGAGGAATTTAATGCAAGCCTATCAGTCCATGAAATGTGGTAAGACCTTTGAACAAGTCTGAGTATGTGTGTGTGCATGCATGCATACCTGCATCTTAAGAAAGGGAGGCAGAGATACTGACAAGGTCTTTGAATAGTTGTAGAAAATAACAATTTTTCATATTTTCCTAGCAAAAATCAGAATTTCTTTCTACACTAAAACATTCAAAAACTCATCACCTAAGGCCCAATTTTAATACACACAAGGTAACAGGTATTACAAAGTGCAAGTATTACAAAATTAGAATTAAAGCAGTTTTCACATATTTATAGGAAAATATCTTGTTTACTGCTAGAATTGACATTGACTCTTTACCAACTCAACATTTAGTAAATATTGGAGGGTACCCATGTTCAGAAACTGATAACAGTAGCACGAGAAAAAGTGCTAATGAAATCTGTGAATGATACACTTTTTAAAGAAAATTTAAAATGGCAAATTTGTCCAATGTGACCTAGGCAAAGCAGATAAAGAGCAAATATTCATAATACTTCTGTTGGAGGGTGAAAAGAACATGGTCTTGAGTTCTGGTTTCATGCTCTGTTGTAGAAAAGAGTCCTCAGACACTGTGAATACAGCCTGAAGCAGGGATGTGTGGAAGTATTCCTTTAATATATCATTCTTAGTTTGGCTGATATTTAATGATTTATTTTCAATTGTTGAATGAATGCATAAATAAATAAAGTATTTGAATTTTATAAGGTCCAGAATTACTCCCTATGGTTCCTGAATAGTCCTCTAATATCTGTCTTTACATGACTCATTGAAAATACCAGCAACTTTAAGATAATCCATGGCAGTTACAATTATTGCATCTGTTACTGGCCTACTCAAACCTTTAAAAAAAATTCACTAATGCTCATTCACAGACAGTATATTGGAGAGAACATTTGGTTGTAAGACAATTGTATCCTAGGCCCTTTTCTTATAATTAAATATATATATATATATAATATATATATATATATACACACATATATATATATTTACCATATATATATGGTAAATTACTGAGAGACCCTGGCCTTAAGGTTCCTCATCTATAAAATAGTTTCTGAAAAAAGACTAGCAAAAATTTTAAAAGTCCTCTTAAAATTTTTTCAAAATTTTTACTGTTTTAAAGATTTATGAAATCTATTTATAATCTCTATGAGCATGAAATAGCCAGTTCTTTCCCACCAGAAAATCATTAGAAAAGTGACATAGGTTTGGAAGAGAGCTAGTTTTCAGCCAACAGCACATACCAACATTTGCATGCTTGCTTAGCTCGCCTTTCTTTGCAGATCTGAGGACCATGAGAGAGTAATTTCATCAAACTACACATGGATTTTTTAAAAGAGAAAATATAAGACATATTTGAGACCTTTTACTGAAAATGATAAAGGTGTCTATTTTCATAAGGAAGCATAGCTTGTTTTTCAGATTTTTCCCTTCACTTATTTTTAGTGTAGTTAAAATTTTGAGATCTGAGACGATAGATCAGATTCTACTCTATTGTCATCCATGAATAGTGCAAAAATAAGATTTTTGCCTAATTAATGAAACAGAAGTTTCTATTGTTCAAGTAATCAATGCTCATTCTTACAAATTTTGATCTGCAATCAAATGCTCTACCACTGAGCTATGCCCCCATCACTCTTACAAATTTTAAAAGTATAAGAAAGTACCAAGAAACACAAACAAATAAACACAGATAACTTTATACCAAGACTAATATCAGAACATTGTAACCTCTGAGCCAACATATGAAATTATGTTAAGGAAGAAAGCATATTTTTTTTACATTTATTTTACCCTTCCACTAAACTTTCTTTTTATTTTTGGTCTAAAATATAGAGAGGTATGAAAATGAGTAATATGTGTAGGTAAAAATGATTAAAATATTTACCATTCTCAAAGGAAAGTATGTTCATAAACAACAAAACTAGTCTAAACAGAAAAAAAGACTACAAAATTGACTAAATTTGTCAAAGGGTTAAAGCATATATATGCTTGTGTGTGTATTTTTTACGTACACACATATATAGACACACTTGTATATAAAATATATGTATATGCATATATACACATAAAATGTTAGAATATCAAGACAATGGACTAAAATATAAAAGGATTTTCTCAGATTTGATGGCCAATTCCATGCTGTAAGCAGTGCATTAGACTCTAATGACATACGATTTCTCACTGACAGATTTAACAGCATCAATAAGGCCTCTCTGTCCATTGCAGCAAATTGATCCTACATGACACTGACAAGGGCAGCCTGCACTTAATGACCTCCATCGCTGAAGGATGGAAATGAAAAATGATTGGAAGTACAAATAAATCTCTGAAAGTTTCCCTGAAACAGGTGTGCTAAAAGTGATTCGTATGAGGAATCATCACAAATATAAACCCAGTCTCCTAGCATGTGCCATTGTTTTTACCAGGAACTTACCCCTGGGATCTTGACTCAAAGTTTGTTTTAATTTCAAAAATGTCATCAAGACAGTTTTAGTTCTCACTATGGAAACACTACATTACGGATCTATCTTAAAGGTATGGGTTCTTCACTATTTATGCAAACAACTAATACATTTGTCATTTGCCACCAAAAGATTCTGTACAAGTGGCTAACAAATAAACTTATCATATATTTTTGTTTTTCCTCTAATTAGAAAAGGATATACAGTGTAGCTATTGATTATTTCCCCCTCCCAATCAACAACAATTGGAACATATTTAACCTCAGTAATAATTTCAAATACATGAAGTGGCTGGACAAATGTTTCATTGCTACCTTAAAGTTCCTTCCTTGAATCTTACACAGTGGTTTTAGTTAAATTAAGATTTTGGCATATAATTATTTTCCACTTTTGGCCCAAACACCACTCTGACCTATCCCCATCTTCTTATTACTGAAAACAGATTTTTAAATGAAAATTACAATACTTTCTTTATATACTTGGGAGTTTAACTTGAATGAAAGTAGATGGATGGGAGACAGAGTTGATAAACAATATGCCAGATGAATGCAAAAGTTACTGTTGCATAGCCATCTCTCTCTTTTCCAATTGTGGATGTCTCTTTTTAATTCACTAACAATTTTCCTGTGAGGTAAATCTTGTGAAGTAATATTATTTTATTGATGAGAAAACTAAAGTTGGAAAGGGTAAATACCTTTGTAAGGTCACTATGCTAGTAATTGGTAGAAGTCACACTCAGATCTGACCTACAATCTTTCCAATATTTCATAGCAATGAAGGAATAAACATAGCACTATAATACCAAATTACTACTTTTTAGTACAGTTATATAAGTGAAAATGAGGAAAAGATGCAATAGCAGACCATTTGTTCTTAATGGTGAAATAAATTTTTTAACCATATACTTCTGAAAAATTAATTCCCGGGTTTGTACAAATATTCAAGGAAGTAATTTTTTCTTGTCAATGAGTATTTGGAGAAGAATATTGGGGAAGCCCTGAATTTTAACACTTTAATAATGGAGTTTTCACTTTCAACATTGTGTACTTTGTCAATTATTACAGAAGACATTACAGAATAAATTAGAGTTCTGTGATTTTCAAGAACTACAAAGCATCAGCTTTAAGTTCCATCTCTAATAGTAAATAGAACACAAGATTTGGAATACAATTATCATGAGGAAGACTTAGGGGTCAATCATGTGAAGTAATGTATAGATAGAACTGCAATGTGAAGTTTATGATAAAGTTTAAATTTGTGAATTATAGACATTTGCTATTCCATGAACTAATAATTAAATGCAGATTAATATCTGCATATCTAATATCTAATCCACATGGTGGATTAGAAGCTTAAGTTTTTTCAATTTCCCAAATACCTTTTAAAAATGTAATTCCAATAGGTTGATAAAAATACACAACAAAAATTTACAGAAAAAGAAGGCATGCTATTTTAGGGCATTTGAAGAATCATCATCAGACTGTAGATCCCATGACAGACCATTGTTACTTTTGTAGTGCATGTGTCAATTAAATCATTACTTTTCAAAAAAAAAAAAAAGAAGAAAATACAATACCTGTTTCTTGTCTCTAATTGAAGAATCATATGATAATAATCGATCATATTTATTGAAATAATCATCCTTTTCTGCTAAGAAAATGCTCTGTAATTTCAGATATTCGTGAGCTAAACGTAGATTTTCTTCAAGTGAAAGATCTTGTATTTTCTGGAAGATAAATATATACATATAGTAATTAGATGAAATCATTTTAATTTTTGTTGAATTTTTATATCTTTTTGAATTATCTAAAAGTAGTACACTAAATTTCAGATAACTAATAAATGCAAAAGATTTTGCCTTAAAACCAGTATCCTCTTTGGATTTAATAAATTTTTGCTTGGAAAAGATTTTCTATTGACTCACCAGTCTGTCTCAATTTTGTTCCTTCTCTTTCTAGGACTTCCCTCTATGATGCCTTGGGAAGTAACTAGTCCTGCAAGACTCCCCTCAACATTCCAAGAGTCTGTTTCTTTTACCAACATCCCACCCCCTTCTTTTTAACTTCTTAAAGCCTCAGTGCTCAAATAGGTAAAGAAACTTGGGAGCTTAGAATTTGATTTCCAAGAGTTTTACAGAGGTAGCATATAAGAAAACTAGTTGGAAATATAGAAAAATAAAGAATAAAAGACAAGGAATGAGGAATTCTTGTCTTAGAAGCTGTACAAACAGCCATTATTTGTTTCTATATTAAAGGCCATTGTAGCTGTATTAGTTAATTCTGCTTCATTATCAATTAAGAAGTTTATAATATCCTTGTGACTAAATAAATATATGTAGCTCTAATGTAACCCCCTTAGACAACAGCTTTTGTAACATTACCCACTGAGAAATTGGTGGATGACAAAATTTTAAATTAGATATATATACTCATTTTAGTTGCTGATTTTTTTTTACACTTCTAGTATAGACAATGTTCTAGGTGTTTCAAAATTATACAATTTATTACCAGCCTTAAATACTTTCAAATCCATTAATAAATTCTTCTTACAAGAGTTTATTCTAAGCAAAATATTTTATTCATTACATTATTTATGATTGTAAAAACTTTATAAAGCTCAAATTTAGATTAATCATAATGATAAAGATTATTAAAGAGCTAGATATAAAGATAGCCACAGTAAAGCAATTAAAATGCTTCTTTGGGAAAATTGCCATCACATCAAAACTTTGCTGTAAGTTGTTAAAATTAGTATTGTGATATGAAAATGTACAGAGGAAATGTAATTCAACAGAAAATTGCCTGTACAAATATTTTTGCATTTACGCACTTGAAGATTTACTAAGGTCAACAAACATATTTCTCATGAAAGCATAGTATCCACATTGATCCCTAATGATTAATACTCTGTCATAGCTGTACTTCAAAAAGGCACAATGATGAACTAAGAATCATTTAAAATGACCTTGCCATAATTCTGACACAATGATTTAAATCTTTAGAAACTTCTATCAAGTAACTTGCCCCCAAATCATATAGAATTGTCTCCATTAGGAGGACAATGTTTCTCTGAATATTTTTATTTGCTGTAGATGCTTTTGAAAAGATGGTTACAATTGTTTTTGATGATTTAACTAATATTGAAACCTAATCTCAAGTCCTGGATAGAGACTGAGTAATAATTTTGAGTCTTTGGTTTGTTTGACTTAAAAGTAAGGCACTACTCTATCACCTAAGATATTATACTTCTCATATATATATCCATTTCTTTCAGGCTCTAGCAGTCTAATGTAAACACTGAATTTGAGAGGAGTGTCAAAAATATGGTGGAACTTGCTTTAAATCAGGTTACTAGGATTTAATGAGGAATCTATTTGGGGATTTGTGGTTTGTTCCCTGTGTAATATGCAGTTTTATTTGCAAAAACATATGCTTGCAAGTTTTTTGTACTACACCATTTCTTGCTCTATTATATGACATAGAGCAGATACCAAAAAATCAAATTGTGTTGTTATACCGATGAATTTTAAAAACTTTGGGATATCAGTCATATTTTACATTATAATTTCCCAATAATAAATGTACAGAAAAATTTGCCAATTTACTATGCATCCTCAAAGGTCACTGACTTTTGGTTGTGCAATTTGGTTTAAGTTTTCTTAATTTTTAATAATGATATTCTGTTGACATTTACAATATTCTTTATGTTTTACTTTAGTTCCATCTCACAACTTTAACTTGTTTAATTTTAGTCAAAACTGTTAAATGTGCAAAGGAAACAAAGGTGGGGGGTGACAATTACTTACATAAACATGTTCAGATAAAACAACACTACTATGACTGGAAATTTAACATAACAGGACAGTTGTAGAAGACAATTAAAGAAGGGCACAGAAGTTGGAATTAGCAATACAATAGAAGAGTGGAAAGCATAAAAGACACTAAAGATGACTTTCACGTGAGTTTAAGTTCAAATAGCTGAATCTTAACAGTAGAATCTTTATACTTAAGTCCTTTTTTAAATGTGAAACTTGAATGAAATTTTGACTTAAAAAACATTAAAAAAAATTGAGTTGCTGTTTCTACAGGTTAAATAACTTAGTATTATGAGTTGGTGTATATTATTATTATTATTCAGGCTTAACACTGTAAGGTAGGCAAAGCACCTGATATTGTACACAGAAATTTTCCTGATCTATCTGTTAGCACAGCTTATCCCAATAGTGTTGAGGAATCATCACCAATAAAGAATGATCTTTCCTTCTCCTCTGCCATCAACAATGGTAAAAATTGTAGGTAGACATAGACTATATGATACCTAAATAGTAATTTCTCACTTTTGTTTCAGTTGATATTTCTTCTTAAGTAGTAGATCATATCATGTTGGATTCCCTCATTTTGCAGTTTTTTTTTTATGTGTCACTTATCCTTTCCCTTCTTCCCCTGGGCAAGGGGGGAAGATAGGGCATTCTAATAAGAGAAGTGTTTTTTTTTTTTGTATTAATATATAGCGCACATACCATCTATTCATGTTTCTTCTTGTGATAGTTCAAAAATTTTAGAACTATAACTGAACATAAACATTAATTTATGAATTCCACACATAATGAAAACAAAGATAACAAAATGAAAAAAAAAAAGAAAGAAAGAATGAAAAGAAAGTCAGGAAAACACCTATGTCCACTGTCTACCAACAGGAAAGATTCTGCTGGATCCAAGCCTCAACCTCTCCAATTCTGGAAGTCATTCCACCCACAATCTAATGTGATATTAGTATGATGACAGAGTGATGTTAAGCATTAGAGTAACTGCTAACATTAGGAGTGTTAGTTAAAACCAGGACATATCCTAAGAAGGCAATATTTACTAAATTTATCCTCACATCAGTTCTCTAAGTTGTGAATTTATACTCATTTTACAAATAAGGAAGAGAAGTCAGTGAGACAAATTGTGTCTTCCAAAATATCCCAGCAATATTTTCATTCTCAGATAGTGTTCCTGAACCTGTTACTCGCTATCAAGAAGTATAATCTATTTCTCTTTCCTTTGAATCTGGGTAGTATTGTGACTTCTTCAGCCAACAAATTTTGGGGGAAGTGATGCTGTGTAACTTCCCAGTCTTGTTCGCAAAAAGTATATAACTTCTGCCTGATTCTCTCTTTGGGCTATTCACCCTAGAGCCAGTTACCATGTTGTGAGGAATCTAGACTACATGTAGAGATCAGGTGAAGACCTCCAAGCAAAAAGCTCAAAATCAGAATTCAAGCAACAGTCAGCAATGATTGTAAACAAATGAGTCATTTGAAGATTATTGCAGCTCGTAAAGATTAAGTCATTGACCTGATGATCCAGAAAGGTGGAAAAAAAAAAAGATAAGACATCCCTGCTATGTCCTGTCCAAATTTCTGATGCACGCAGTCATGAATCTCAGTTCTGGCTATTTATTATTCTATCAAAGCAACAGAAACACAAATTATCTTCTGCAAGCTTCTACACATATTAGGTGAAAAACTGGACTTTGCACCCAGCAGATTAATTCTAATCCCATACTCCTCATGAGCTGTTGTACTTGAGTTCATAAACTCCAGCCAGTACCGTGTAATTCTATACAAAGCTTTATTTATAAAATATAACCGTGTTAACCAAATATCAGAATAAACTTATCCGTCTATTTCTACCAAGTAAAAGTATTTTTTATAATTTTACTAACATATTAAACATAATTTGCTGAAACAGATAATGTAGACTGCTGAAAAAAGTAAGAACTTGGTCCCCATGGAAGTGACTTTTCCTTGTAAATCAATATGGGCATGCTGGTTACATATAAATAGTCTCATGCTTTCTGATCTCCATAATTCCATATTCCATGATTTGATTATGTCTGATATATTCACTGACAAGGTCAAGTGCATAGAATTTCAAAGCTGGATCTCCATTGTGGACTATGGTCAGATACAGCAGAGAAATGCCAACTACGCACTGAGGCCTGTGGTGATCCATCAGCCAGACTTACCCTGAAAAGAGTTTAGAATAATTTGAATTCTTTTTTTTTTTTAATTTAAGATGGTTCAATGGCAAAGGAAATTAGAAGAAAAAATACTTGACTCAAACATTCCAGAGAGATGGTTATGATGAAAATATTCACTCTGTACATCCAGGTGTAAAACATCTTTATAAGTACAAATACCTTAAAGTTAACAGTAATAGTGTCCATGGCTAAATTTATCCAGCTACTCCTAATAGAGGAATTTTGATCCACCTCATCAGACAGAGGAGCTGGGTTCTTCTATCAGTTATGGATTGGCAAGAGAGTTGCCACCTTTTGATCCAGCTCTAATAACTCTTTTATCATGATGTGATTATATGGGACTGTCTCAGCTGATCTTTTCTGATTATCTGCCATGTCCTAACTCATAGTTATTACTAGTTTACTTCAGACAGCTTCTTTCTTTCTTGCATCTCGACAGACTGCTGCTAGTTATAACTGCCATGTTCATGTTCTTGCACAGACTGAAACCCACCCACTTACATTAAATCTCATGTTTGGAATGAATGGAATTCCTGCAGCACAACCAGAACTGACCAGTTTCACCCCAGAGCATTATTACATCTAACTTTCCCTTATTTTTATGTTCAGTCATTATTGTAGTAAGCCCATGAGTAAATTTATTCTATGAGTTCAGTTCTATGGTTAGTCATGGATTAAAAAGGAGGTTAAGATATAAGC